TCTTATATACTAATGAACTGAATTGGATAAAGAAATGCTAAATGTGTAATAAAGTATCCAAAGAGGTAACGATTACTGAAAACACCACAAATTGAAGAGGACCACAGGATAATGTGCATATATATTTTAATGATCTGGAAGAATCAGCTCACGATTGTATTCAAGACATCTAGAGATGATGTCAAAAGGGGGTGTCCTTGGATAGCTTTTTGTGAATGTTAGAATGAAGTCAGGGTCAAGCACACAAGTTTAGTTTAAAAGCAAAAGGTGAAACAGACTTCTTTTCAAAAAGCTATTGTGTCTGGTTAGAAATCATCGAATCCATGGGTCAAGGGAAGGAAAAAATACCTAGTGACCACGTGACTGTTTCAGGAGCTGGTAGTAAAATGACAGTTGACAATTGTGTAAATTAGATATGATATTGATGTCCAACTGGCCCAATGATTTTTAGTCCATGTGCAAAATATATATCAAGGAATAAATACTGATTTATGTTTTCTCAGCTCTGTTGCCCCCCTACAAGCCTGCATTCTGATTGGGAAACTAAGAACTTCTACTGCAGGGAGGAGGATTTTCAAAAAATGAGTGTCCCCCAACAGAGAAAATAAAGAAAAAGTAGACATACACTGTAGAGACACAGGGAGATCTGTTGAGCCAGATGACACTTGCTTTACTGTGAATTAGTAGGAGGCGCAGCTTTTTGATGAGTTGGGTAACATATTGCTGCCTTTCTCAAGGTATTGCCCACGGCTCTTGAGAAGTGATGAAGTGGGGCCAAGGAATTAGCCACCGAATGCCCTTTGCCATGGATGTTGTCTCTTTTTTCCACTTTTAAGCTTTAGCTTAGACAAGTTGCAGTGTCTTGCCAAGTGAGCTACAGACAGTAAGTGTGTCTTGAAGCACACGGCTCTTTCCTCCTCACTGCAGCAGAGAACCTCTGCATTGGAGCATCCTGAGATGTCATCAGTGGTCATTTTTCATGTTAGGAATCAGTAAGGATGCTATGTCCACATGGATGAGGAGGGTAATGTTTCAGTCTCTAAAGTGGTAATGATGGGTTGACATTTTCATTTAAAGAGTCTCACATCAACAAATGCGGGTCTGTTCTGGACCAAGAAGAAACAAGTGTTTCAAAAATAATAGCTTGAAAGGTCAGTGGGACAAGTCAGGCATCTTCTTCATGTCTTCAAGTTCGGGTATCAAACATGGGTTTCCTATCCTGAGTGATACTGACAATTTGTCATGCTCTGTGACTCATGTATACCGAAGGCTTTCCTAGATAAAATGTCTAGAAATGGTATCGTTCTTGATATCTGTTAAACAGGGGAAGATGAAGGAATTAAAATTAGTCCCTAATGTGCATTGATTTTTCTAAAGACATCAATTTTATAGAAACTTTTGAAGAATTAAAGTGACAGAAAATTGCAAAGCACCTTCTCCTTCTGGTAGAAAACTGTTCTGTTTTCCTTTTTTGATGAATGTGACATAGAATCAGTGCTAATATTGTTTGTATTGTACTTAGTGTTTACAGAGTGATTCACAGATATTCTCCAATTTCGTCTGTGCAATGACCTCTGGAAGATAAGATTTCTTAATTATGCTTTTTAATGTCTATTTCTTAACTCT